GAAGTAAAGAGTTCGTCACTGATAATAAACAAATCTACGGTACATCCCACAAAAAAATTTTTAATGAATGATGAAGAATCAAATTAAAAATTGATTATTAAGGCACTATTATACTCTAATTTTTATCCGATTTTTCAGCCTTTAAAGACGGATTCCATTCGATTAAATCTTTTAAAATCTATTTCAATTGATCTATAAAATTAAATCAATTATAATTATTATAAAAAATCGATTTGAATTAATTAAATTTTTCTAACAAACAAAAGTAGATTAAAAAAAGATTAAATAGGGCGAGTGTGGGTATGGGTGCAATAAGAAAGACTTACACCCACACCCAAGAGAATCCTATGGAATTCAAAGGAATCTTATGGAATTCTGTGGAATCCAAGGGAATCCGAGGAAATCTTAGGGAATCCAAGAGAATCCGAGGGAATCCAAGGGAATCCGACGGAATCCGAGGGAATTCAAGAAAGGGATGGGAATCCTGGAATTCAAGATTCCTGGATTCCGCTATTCACCCCTTGCCCCACACTCACATCCACTCACACCCACACCCTGGTTGGTTCGAGCTAGGCCGTCGAAAAGAACAACAGATCAGAATCACAATAATTTTCAGCTGAAAAGCTTTTACTTTCTTATATTGATTATACTTCATTTTTTGCCGATACAAAATGCCACATCCATTATTACATCAACTATTGTTTTCCTCTATCAAATTAAGCATAAGATGATAAGATTCTCATCTCGATTAAAATCCACCATCAACGTCCTCAGCTCTACTTCGCTATATTTCGATAATTATCTTTTTACGAGAAGTTCTCAGGTTAACTAACCTTAATTTTCTATTCATGTGGTTGCTATCTAATGAAGATGAAATATGCCGATAATATAATAAACCTCTAATGGTATTTTTAATAATTTTATGTCAAGTCCAAATATGCACCATTATAGTTATTTTTCGATTGAGATTCGCCTCAAATTGCTTGCTGAAATCAAAGTAATCTCTATCAGTTTAATAAATTTTTCTTAGAAAAACGGAGAACGCTACATTAGTTTACTTTGTTTTATTTGAGTTATCTCAATCATTTTCTAAGAAAATTTTACAGGAAAACAAAACAAAAAGTGTTTGTCTTCCGGCCTTTTCTTTACTCAATCCATCTACGTCTATCGCTCGTCGCTTTTCCCGGAAGATTGCGGTAGAGTGAGGAAAATAGCTGATTTAATTTAGTTCTTTTGTAGTTTACTATTTCTAAACGTCGTCGTAGAATTTTTATTTTTTTGTTATTGGCTGTTTGTATTATAAAAGTCAAAAGAAGTTGTGAACACTCACGATATAGGGATGTGACCTCGATCTAAAACTTTTAAATTTCTTTTTAGATAGTATCCTATGAAGGGCCTAAGTATTTGAAGGATTCAAATCTGCTAATTTGACGTTGATCATCTTACTATCAAGTATAGTTTTATTTTAGTTCTCTTTCTGTGTCTGATTCACCTAGAAAAGTACCCTCTAAGTCACACATGACTATTCAGGTACTATGCAGATTCTCATCTTTATTCTATTTTTACGCAGAGCCAAGAAAACAAAAGAGACTGAATACATGAAATTAATATTGATACGTTTCCTCAGTGCCAATGAGGTACTATGGAATAAGAGTTTCTCTTGAACTATGACAATATCTACATCGAGCTTATTTTCGAAAGCACGTGTAGCTGTATTGACAAACAGTAAAGGCGAAATTATTTTACTGGTACCTCGTTAAAAGGAACATGTTTGTGACAAGAATTGGGCCCTTGTGCTTGCTAGATTTCAGACTGTGACATGTACTCTCATGACTGTTCGAAAAAACTGAGCTTGACTCTCATATTAATGCAACAAACCTTTGAAATTGTACGGTTTTTTGTGTTTGGTTTCTAGAGAGTCATGACGGATGTAACCAGTGTTGTCGTTTGTTTTTAGGAGTGGGAGGGGCGAAAATTTTCGCAGATAACTAGATTTGTAGGATTGACAGATTAACAACAAGCTTTTTCAAGACGGAGATTACATTGTTCAACATAATAAGATAGACTTTATTGTATTTACATTTTTAGAAAGTAAAAGCAATCAAAACTACTCAAATTTTCAAAAAGACAAATTTCAGCAACATATAAAAGAGAGAATTGTTTTCTTTTATCATTCATTTTTTTAGATTCCAATTAAATTGTGTCGAAAGGATTTGAGATGAACAGAAACAGTAGCTCTTTCTTCATGCGCATGCGAACTGATTATATAACTTGTTCCCTTTTATGATGAAGATTGTGTATAGTAATAAAAACTAATCTGAATAGACACGTTCTCTTCACATTTTCATTTCTGCTTAAACACACTGAGACAATTAGTCTGAACCAAACAACTAAAGCAGACTAAAATTCTCATTGACATAATCGATGAGAATTTTAAAGAAATAGAGTAATCGAACTTTTTTATTAAGGAAAATTATCTGAAGTCAGAGTCTTTGCGAGAATTTTGATGGTAGTTTTTCATAGTAACCTTGGTTCTATTTCTGTCCGAGAGGAAGATACTATACTTGATCTGTGTGCTTTTCTATACGAAAACGACAAATCAGTTCACTTCATGAAGAAAGATACGTTCGGAAGTTCCAGTTCTGGATGATTTCTGCAAACGAATGAACACAGTTAGCAGAAAAAAAAACAGCAGACCTAGTTCAAAATTTGGGAGAGGATAGCTCCCGGTATTCCCCACCTAATCGGTAAGCCTGGATGTAACTTCTGTTGGTTCTATTACCTACGACAACGACGAAAACTTGGAAGCATTCAGTCTTATTTGGCTTGATACAATGGATCTTCTTGGTGAAAGCTACAATGTACAACAAAACTTGTGTAGAATCATCAATCATATAAAGCTATTTGATAAAATGGAAAAGTATAAGAAATATATAGAGAAGGTAAGTGCGGACAACCGACTGTTAATTATCCAGGAGCGAGAAAAGTGATCAGCAATGGATACATGAGTTTTACAAGGTAAGCATTTTTGAAGAAGTTCTAGCCCTGTAGTACTGCTGGCTTAGGGGAGGTTTATCATCAGTAAACCAGAAGACTTGATTTCTAAGATTGACGACGATTATAAAAAGCAGTCGAAAATGCATGAAACATTCGTGTTCAATACATTCGATCGACTCCACGATGCAGGCAAGGCTATGACAGAAATCGATGGTCAATTTATTTTCTTTCAGTCACTTATCGATTGTCTTATTCGATTAAAATACATTGAAGAAGAGAGAAATGAGCTCATTTCTCGTCTTGAGAAACAATACAGAGACAATTCTAATGAACTCGAGAAACTATGCGAATTTAATGATAGTTACCCATCCAACGAGGCTTTCTCGTGGTATACTCATGAATCTTTCTTGTACAACACGCTGAGTACAACATTATGAAAAGAAAAGATGCACCTGTTTACTTGTATCGTTCAATATTGGTAGACTTACATGGTTAATTGCAGCAGCGCCGATATCAACAACTTTTGCGAGTATATCGCAGTCAACTGATGTCCATGGAAGAGGTAGCAGCTCTCAAAAACAACGTCAGGCAGTTCATCTTTATAAATTCATTTCTCGCCGCCACCAAGGGATGTCAAGTGACTTTCTTTTTGAGTGATTTAATCCAAAAGACCGATTTACAGCGAGTTCTGTTCGAGATTATAGCCCACCCTAATGTACTGTGGACGTCATAAGTCTCGCACCACGTTTTTGTTTTGGGTCGCATTTCACTATAATACGGGAGTTTTTCAAAATTTTTCTTTCATTCGATAGAGCATCTCGAGTACTACAAATGTGTATATAATTGACATGTTCACTTCTTGAATATAAAAGAAAATCAGAAACAAAACAAACTTCGAGACTACTGCAAAAATTTCATAAAAAAAGACAAGTTACTATTTTTTTTGTTTATGAAGAATGATGATAATTTGAAGGGGAAGGACAATCGTTGTATACATTTCGTCCTCTCGTGATGCCACAATGATTGTAATAATGTCTAATGTGTCCTTTTGTTGTAGCAAACCATTCGTCCTTCATTGTCGTAATTGGAGTTTCTTCAGTAAGAAAATCATGCTGTCTAATCCATTCTTTCCATTCGTGGAACAAAACATTGTCCAATGGATTGATTCGTTTCACTGCTTGAGAAGGTATAATCAATATCTTTGTCAAGTCCGTACCTAAACCATTACGAAATGCTTGTTTTATCTTCGAAATATTGTGAATATTCTACTTATCTAGTACAAGATATTGTGGAAAAAGATCGAGTGCAATTTTTGCAGGACACAAAATGTCTTCAATGAAATCGATTAACATTTGGCTATTGATTCCTTTAACCTCTCTTGTTTTTCTATCTTGTGGTGAATATACGATTGGTGGCAACACTTGATCACCAACAATGGCAGCAATCATGTCGAAACGAGCAGCGTATGATGATGAATCAGTAACAGCAACATACGGCATTTCTCCTAGACCTACTAAAGTTGTTGTTGGCACTTCGTTGATTTTGATATGAGTTTCATTGAGAAAAATAATTTTTTTTATTGGAAACTCGTTGAAGCCTAAGACGTAATGTTGCTATTTCATCACAAGTCAGTTTACCCACTAAATTTAAAATTGATAAAAAAGCTTGATGGAAACAACGGAATGGTGAAAGACAGCGATTGAATACGAATGAGTACATATCTCTATACTCACACTCTTTATGGAAACGTTTAATGGTTTTCTTGCACTTGATGCCGTTTTTGTTCCCATATCTTTGAATTGTTCTGAGAGAAAGATTAGTATTGGTTTTCTCATGAACGAATTTTACGAGTTTTGCATAATTGATAGGACGTGAAAGACGATTATGAGAACGAATAACCATCATAATGATTTGATTAATTTGTTTTTTATTTAATATTGGTGCTCGTCCTGAACGATGATGATGTTGTAACGATGAAACATTACCATTATATCGATCATACCACCGCTTCACCGTTGCATGACCACCTGGAATTTGGAAATGATTAGCAACGGAACGGAAACTAAGGTTCGATTGATTTCGAAGATAAAAATCGATGACACATTTCTTAAATGAAGGTTCATAATATCGCGATGAATCGCTCATAGTCTGATATTTAATAATAAATCGATATAACTTCTTTTGATTGTATGTGATGGTTTTGCGAAAAAACGACGAAAACAAAGCGAGTAGATAATCAACCGTTATTTAGTATCGAACAATAGCTGAGTTTATCGTTAATTTAAATGAACAATATCGATAGATGGTGCTGTGATTTTAATTAAGGTATTTCTATGGGAACGAATGCTTACGCGGGTGATGATATCTATCAGTACACCACATTGCCTTTCGTCTTAGGAGTTGTTACAGTTTCTTTCTTTCCTTTCTGCCCTATATATATATATATATATATGTATGTATATACGATTTCACGTATGTCCTTGATGTACGTGGACAACTTTATTATATAATGAAAGAAACAATTCTGAATACATAAACGATATAGATGAGATATATATATGAAGAACGAGAAAACGAAGAAACCAATTAAAGAATCAAAGAGATGAAAGAGAATAGAGGTTAACAATAAATAGTGAATATGTATACATGCGACATCACTGTAACAGGAGTATATATGAGATGAAGATATTTATGCATTCCTTTCAGAAGTACATTTACTGAAAATGATTTCTAGATTCATTGAGTATATACTGTGTGGTGAACTTTTATTTTAAACAAAAATATTAACTTGTCCTTTTTTATGAAATTTTTGCAGTAGTCTCGAAGTTTGTTTTGTTTCTGATTTTTTTTATATTCAAGAAGTGAACATGTCAATTATATACATATTTGTAGTACTCGAGATGCTCTACGGAGTGAAAGAAAAATTTTGAAAAACTCCCGTATTATAGTGAAATGCGACCCAAAACAAAAAAGTGGTGCGAGACTTATGATGTCCACTGTAGTCTTGACAAAGCCCTTCGCTGATATCAGCCACCATAGTGAATATCCTAACGAATTTGAGGTATTATTTATGTTCGGCTTCATTTTTTATATCAGTTCGATTCACTAAGAAGACAATTAAATATGGGTAATGACAATGTCTTTGTGAAAAGATAGTGAACACTACTTGAAACTTGTTCTCGAATATATGAAGAAAGCCGTTGGCAGAATCCATAAAGGAATTCAGAATGTGAAACACGATAAAACTGTTGTAATTTCTGGTAGTGCGATATTGCGAGAACACTGTCACGTCTGTGAAGAGGGGTGTAAATTTCTGCCTGTATGCACTTCAACACTTTTTTCAGATCGTGTTTCACAAAAGAAGCGGAATCGGACAAACAAGTCGGCAGAAATTGGGAAAATTAGTGTTGGCGATATGTAAACTTGATCTAGCCGAACACTAGTACCATCAGTTTTTAGAAGAACGTCGCCAAACGATCCTTTGTGATGTAGTTTGTACGAGAATCTGAATGAAATCATTTCTCAACAAGGAAAATTAGACAGAAGTATTGAGTGGCATCAAAAAGCAATTGACATCAAACAACTGGTTTCAGAATCAAATAGCAGCAGGACAGGTCAGACAATGAGACGTGATAATGTTGAAGAGGTGGCAATACGTTCACATACGGTTGGTGATGAGCGGTTGAAAACACCAGATAGTGCATCATCCACTCTCAAAGCGTCTATCAAAGAATGCTGGCCACCAGATCAACACGCCCGACCTGACAGCTCTCAAAGCATCAGAAGGCTTGAAAATATTGAATTAACAGGTAACTAACTATGCTAGTGTTCTTACAAATGAGCGAAAAAAAAGTGAAACACAATACTGTGTAAGGATGATGTATCATCAATTGACTACTCAGCTCGTATTTTAAGCGATTTTGCCAATAAACCCATCGACTACGTTATTCATTAGAAAAAATGAATGGGTCTCTAATGTACTGTCAATAAATATATAGAGTTCTGCCTTCAGTTAGAAAATGTCTTCGCATTAAAGCTGCCTTTTTGTTAAGATTTCGGCTACATCATTGACTTTCCTCTGATATGGAAAAAAGCAGTAGTAGCTGCAACACACACAAGTGTAGCTTTTATAATCTGTCTTATGTCATCAAAAAAGCTAAAAATATTTCTTCATACTATACAGATATTTCCAAAATTAATGATGTTGATACAAATAATGAAGCACCCGAAATTAGCGAACCTCAAGTAAGTTACGCCACTGCTTCAATGCTGTATCTTTGTCTCTGCTTATATCTTTTTTGTTAAGAACTCAGTAAGACCAGTGCCAGTAAAACGAAATCAATGTTTTCGATGTGGTCCATGCAGTGGACAACGAACTAAGTTCTCTCCATTATTTGTCTTGGGATGTATTTTTTCTTTAGCCATTGTGGCTGGCATTAGCGCGTATTTGGCAATCAACTCTACTGGTAAATCATACGTGTCTTCTACCGTCGTTACAAGCAGTCAAAAGTCAGCAGCTCAAACGCCTAACACTGAAACGTCAACAATCCAAACATCAACCACTGAAACGTCAATCATTCAAACATCAACCACTGAAACGTCATCCATCCAAACATCAACCACTGAAACGTCAACCATGCAAACATCAACCACTGAAACGTCAATCATCCAAACATCAACCACTGAAACGTCAACCACTGAAACGTCAACTACTCAAACGTCGAACATTCAAACGTCAGCTACCTCAACGCGAAGTAGTAAGCAGTACATGTACACTTAATTCAATTAAGAGAGTTTTATTTGCAGCTATACTATTTTTACTGGCAATCTCAAGCAGTTTAAGAGACTTTTTCTGAAAATGGATAAAGCTACTTCGTCGCTAGTTTAGCTCAGATGCTCCCTGCTATCGAAATAGCGATATTTAGAAGAAAAATGATCTCTTCAAAATAACTCATGTGAAAAATATATTCAACATTGTCGAAAACTTCTCAAATCATGTTTATCCTACTAGTTAAATAACTCCTCAGATAGCTAGAACTACCATCTGAGTTCTATTAAATTAAAGGGCACGTAGTCTACATTTTTATAGTCACTTTAGGCCAAAACATAAGTACATCTATACATGTTCTTATACTTGCCAGTACGGTTCAGATGATCATCTATGATATGTCAAGTTACCCACAAAACCACGTTTAATTACGTTTTTGCTCTCTAATATTTTCACAGCTTTGCTGCCATCTAACATCACCCTTCGCTGGAACTCGACTGGCATTACTGTAGCCGGCACCACTGGAGTTTGCGAATCAACGGCTGCTTATCTCTGCAATCCCTACGGTTTGACCTTCGATTTCCTGTCAAATGCTTTGTATATAGCTGACTCTAGCAACCATCGTATCCAGAAATGGGTACTCGGCGCGAGCTATGGCACGACTGTAGCCGGCAATGGAACAAGTGGCAATAGTGCTAGTCAGTTATCTTATCCCGTCCATGCTATCGTCGACTCGAATGGAAATGTTTACGTGTCAGATAGTATGAATAATCGCATTCAATTTTGGCCCCATGGCACATCTTTAGGCTTCACTATCGCTGGCTCTAGTAAGGAAAACTCTACGAAATATAAGGTATCCTAGATGCCAATTTAGGTACTGCGGGATCAGCCAACAATCAACTCCTCGATCCGGGATTCATCGCTCGTGACTCTACCGGCGGAGCATTGTATATACCTTCTGCATTCGATCGCGTAGTACGTTGGTTACCAAACGCCACAACAGGCACAGTCGTTGCCGGTGGTAATGGCCAGGGAACAAACTCGACGCAGCTGTATCAAGCCTTTGGACTCTACTTCGATTCGTCCTCAAATAGTCTCTACATAGGGGACTACAGTGCACACAGAATTGTCCGTTGGCCATTAGGTGCTTCCAACTGGACATTATTGGCGGGTACCCTCACTGGTATGTATGGATCTACATCAACGATGCTCCGCTTTCCAACTGCCATAACACTTGATCCGATGGGCAATTTATACGTTGCTGATACCAACAATCAGCGCATACAACTATTCTTAGCGGGCTCTAACAATGGAACAACAATTGCCACGGCTAATTATCCAGTTGGAATAGCGCTGGATAACCAACTAAATCTGTATGTCACCGAACAGTACAATCATCAAGTACGGAAATTCACACGATTATGAAGATAATCTGTCTTGGGTTTGTGTTTCAGCCTGCTATTCCAAAGAAATCATGGTCTATATTTACTCGTTATCATCCTTTGGGATCATTCAAGTATTACGTAATCAACATTAGGGTGAGCGGGAGTCTGTCAAAGTTGATATTTAATTACTCCAGTGAAGGGCGGAGTCTGTACAAGATTACGTAATCCGGAGGAATTTTCGAATATATAGCAATGGTCTGCGATTGCATGTAATCACTGGTATTAAAACAGAAAATCTTGCTATTCCTTTTGTTGTCCAGTTGTGTATACGATTTATTCGATCTTACATACAATCATACTCGTATGATATTGAGGAAAAAACGGTGTATAAACTTCGAAACGTTTCTAACTATGAACATCTTCCTATTGAAGCTGAATATCTACAAGTTATGTAATCTGAGGACTAAGAAACCAGATAATCAGACAAGCTTCTATACATGATTATTCTAGTAGATATCTTTATCTATTTTCTAAGATATTCAGGATACCAAAAACATTATTTTGGTTCCTTTTTAAAAGACATTGATCACCATCTAAAAAACTATCTGAGGGTGTGGGTGTGGGTGTGGGGGGTGTGGGTGTGGGATGTGGGCGTGGGCGTGGGGTGTGGGTGTGGGTGGGTGGGTGTGGGTGTGGGTGTGGGTGTGTAGGGTGTGAGTGGGTGTGGGTGTGGGGTGTGAGTCGGTGTGGGTGTTGGTGTGGGTGTATGGGTGGGTGTAGTTCAAGAGGAGATTCACCCACACCCACACCCACATGCACCCCACACGCATCCCACACCCACACCTTCACCCACACCCACCCACACTCACACCCACACCCACACCCACACCCACACCCACACCCACACCCTTGCCGTTCCAATACAATTACCACAAAATCTTTATCCATAATCGTAATGTGCCCAAGTGAGCAAAAAATAAGTGAAGACGGTC